AAATCGAGGTGATAGGAAACTAATTTTTTGTAAATGTTTTGTACTGTGTCTTCCCAGTCTTCTATATAAACACTTGATCGCAATGGAAGGCAACATATTTAAGACTTACCTATCTCCTTCCTATTATTTTTATATAATATCACGAATATTTAGTGCAGAAAGTTGAACGTTCATAAAATTATTTTCATAATTTCTGTGATGCAGGTATTCAATGATTAAATAACAAAGATCCAATATGCTTCGAGTAACAAATTGTTGTCAACAACGTCCACAATTCACGACAAATTCTTATAATTTTAGGGTTTTATACAGCAGTTCATTTTGTTCAGGTCATTTGAATATATTTTCATTAAAATTTTAGGAAAAAAGAACATTTAGGAATCAGTTTTTTTTAAGGGATTTTATGACCTGGTAACTAAGACCTTCAAGTCATGTCTTATTTTACTTTATATTCTTAATTTTATGAAAAATGATAATATGGAGTGAAATGAAATGAAGATGATTAATTTGAGACATTAATCAACTGGCATGAAATTTAATGAAATGAAATGATATGGGATGAAATATAATCGCAGTAAAATGGTGGTCATTTACTGAGATTTTTTCAGTGGACTTTTTGGAGGAACCCGAGAAGTTACGTCCAGCAGCTTTGTTTCATTTTCCCACATTTGTGCACTTTCACAGATATTAAACAGTTAATAAACCACCATTATTACACATTTAAACCTGAAGAAACACTAAATAGACAAAATAAAACAAATCACACAACTTCACTTCTCGCGTTCCCGCCAAAAAGTCATGTGCACTTTCACAGATATTAAGCAAGCCATAGATTATAACACTTAATTTACACAGAATACTTAATTTACACAGAATTTAGTAAATTTCTACTTTTTTGGTAGATTTTGAAGTACTGGCAACAGAATTTAGTATGTAAAAATTATTTGGTATATTTTAGTAGATTTCACGCTTTTCAGTTATTCTAGTACTTTTTTGGCAATATGGATAAATTCAGGGTATTCCCCCTTTCATCGAATGGATTGTAACTACTTAATTTTCATTCTTTTCGTTACTATTCGTGCCGTGAGCATAGTGTGATAGACTAGTGGGAATTCCTTCATTGCGAATTTTTATAATCGAGCTTAAAATGAAACATAAATAAATATACACAAGGATATCGCGATGTAATACAATTCATCAAGATACCCTTGTAGTTGCAACAGAAAACATACAAATTGTTGAAAAAGAATATACGGAATTAAAATTAGATGTTTCCGTGTCTAATTTACTGTCAACTTCTAGTTCGACGTCTGAAACTTTTATGGTGGATAAATTTTGGAGTGAAGTCAGTCAAATCTGTGATGCGAATAGCAAACCATTTGGCATTGAATGACAATTTGTCCCGATTTGTGAAGCAAATGACGATACTACCTTTGTCAAACGCCAAAGTAGAAAGAATAATTTCTAATATTAATAGGTTTAAAAATCAATATCGAAATTGATTTAATATTAAGAATGTAGCAGCAATAATGCATGGAAAAAAGGAGCTATGACAGTTGGAAGGAGGATGTCGCACATTTGATGCTGACAGAAGTATTATCAAGTTATGGATTTAAAACAACTTTATGAAAATGCTACCCAACTTAAAGACGAAGAATTCTATTTATTTTATTTATTGAATATATTTTGTACACACAGCTGTTAGAAAAAAAACATGACAATAAGGATACAGAGTACAAGAGCACTAAGGGCAAAAGGAAAGAAGAATTAGGAACACAAACCTAGTGCATAAACATTACATATAATAATATATACATATTACAAGATACAAAACAATATATATACATACAAATACACTTACACACAAACACACACCCATGTATATATATATACATACATACATACTTATACTTACTTTATATATATATGCATTATACAAATATATATACTTTTATTTAATATGGTAAGGATAAATAGTGTTCTTTAATAGATTTCTTGAACGCTGCTATGGTTGTGCACGCTCGTATGCTTGGAGGGAGGGAATTCCAAAGTATCACTGCTTGTACAGAAAGCGATTTTGCGTAAGCATGTGTTTTATGATTAAGGCATTTGAGGAGAGTTTTAATGTGTAAGATGTCTCATCTGCGAATCGTATTATTCTTTATTTTTATTTTTATTTATTGCTTAGATGGGTGGACGAGCTCACAGCCCACCTGGTGCTAAGTGGTTACTGGAACCCATAGACATCCACAACGTAAATGCGCCACCCACCTTGAGATACAAGTTCTAAGGTCTCAAGTATAGTTACAACGGCTGCCCCGCCCTTCAAACCGAAACGCATTACTGCTTCACGGCAAAAATAGGAAGGGTGGTGGTACCCACCCGCGCGGACTCACAAGAGGTCCTACCACTAGTAATTATGCAAATCATAATTTTGCGGGTTTCATTTTTATTACACGATGTTATTCCTTCACCGTGGAAGTCAATCGTGAACATTTGTTGAGTACGTATTTCACTAGAAAAATTGGTACCCGCCTGCGGGATTCGAACACCGGTGCATCGCTTTAACACGAATGCACCGGACGTCTTATCCGTTAGGCTACGACGACTTCTGAACCTATTTAAAATTCTTCTTCTATTTAAAATTAAACGACAATTACAAATCTATGACGAAGTGAATGATGCGATTTCGTGTGTGGTTCATTGGTTCCGTATCAATAACCTATTATTGAATAGTAAGAAAACTAAATGTATTAAATTTACTTTAAAATGTATTAAATCATCTTTAAATGTGAGACAAGTAGATAGTTATGTAATTGTTTCTGAGGAATCATTGGAGCTTGTAGAGTCAACCGTATTTCTTGGTATAACAGTGGACTTCAAACTGCATTGGAGACCTCATATTCATAAATTGGCGAGTAAGCCGAGCTCTGCAGCATACGCAGTAAAAAAAATTAGAATGTTAACAAATGCGGACACGGCTCGTTTAGTTTACTTTAGCTACTTCCACAGTGTCACATTTTGCTATGGGGCAATGCGGCCGATGCAGAAATGGTATTTATTCTGCAGAAAAGAGCTGTACGTGCTATTTATAACATGCACTCAAGGGAATCCCTGAGGGAAAAATTTTAAGAAATTAAAGTTCTCACTATGCCATCCCAGTACATCTTTGAAAATTTGATGTATGTTCGTAAACATATTGAGGAGTTTCCTAAAATGTCGGACACACATAATAGAAATACTAGGAACAAACACAAGCTTGTTGTGCCGATGAGTAGGTTACATAAGATACGAAACTCATTCGGGTGTTTGTCTGTGCGCCTGTACAACAAAATCCCACAAGATGTTCAGAACCTACATATATGTCGGCGTTAAGCCAGGATTTACACACATAAGTTCTTTTACAATGAAAATACAATACAATTCTATAAAACTTCAACATTACTTGTTTACAACAAAAAGCCACGCCTGAGTTATTCAGTGGTTTTTACACAATTAGCCATTTTGTGATTGATGGTTATAGCAACTACAACTTCTTTTATACAAACAAATGTAATTACGGCGAAACAATTCACAAAATATAGCTTAATATTCACAATACATATTTTAGTGATTTTTACATGACTGACATTTAATTTATTTTACATGAATTACTTTTAAGTAATATTAACTAACATTGTTATTATCCAGCCTAATAATAGATGGCGCCAACATCATTGCATAACAATTACAATACTTAATTATTACTGTTCATTATAATAAAAAATATTATCAATATTTATTCTTTATTAATATTTAATTATTTATACAGTCATTTGTGTTTTTAAGCAATAATATAAACAATAAACATATTCTGAACATTTTCACATCAAAACAGTGTCTGCTTATTATTAAATATGGTAGAATAACAGTTTCATCTTGCTAATAATAAATAAATATTAACATAGAATAAACTAAACTATATATTATTATGTTAATTATTGCCAATAGGTAGTGGCGTTTGCGCCCATATATACATAGGTTTAAGAAAACTATTAAAGAACATCTGTGCAATAAAGCTTACTATAAAGTCAATGATTATCTAGAAGATTGTATGAAGTGGGAATGAGTTGCTCGCTCCGGGCATTTCAATATTGTAATAATTGTTATGTTATAATAGTCATTGTAAAAATGAATATTTAAAAAAAATCTAATATTAAAAAAAAGAACTAATATTTAAAAAAAAAGACATGCCCGTTGAGTTTCTTGCCAATTCTTCTCAGGATGGAGGCTAGTTCTTGTGAATTGGCAGCAGTTCTTTTGACGTTCAACAAGTATGTACTTTCATTTATGTTGAATAAAAAAAATTTGATTTTTTTGATTTTTTTTGAGACCAAAAATAAAACGGATGCACAAATTTTGCAAACGCTCAAGCTTATTGAGAAGCTCCTCAGTGGCATCCAGGTAGCAAGCATCAGCGTAGTCCAAAATAGGTAAAATGAGACTTTGGGCAAGAGAAATTTTAGTTTCCAAAGGCAAAAAATATTGAGTGAATGGAATGCAAAGTTAACTTTACTACTTACATTGTTAACCTGCTCATTCCAGCTTAAGTAAGAGTTAAAGGTAACGCTAAGGCTTTTAACAGTTTCAGTGAAGACAATTGGTTGGCCATTCAATATGAGAGATCCAATTGTAGAGTGATTTAATGTACGAATAGCATATCTACTACCAATTATGATGGCATGTGTTTTGTTTGTATGTTTTTATGTTTAAGTTTTTTTTTTTTTTGTAAATATTTAATTAAAAAAAATAACATTGGTCTCTTGAATTCCACCATTAGGTGGTTTCTTTGTTATTTTTATTATTTAATCAAGGAAAAATTCATGTTTTTACGTTGTAACACGACGGCAAAAACAAGTATTATAGATTTGTAGTATTGCTCGTTCTCTTTTGATAGAATTCCGTAGATTTTAACCTCCACAAGCAGTAGATTCGTCAAATAAAATCTGGTCACACTGGAAGCAAGCATTATTCGTTTTGATTCGGCTTTCCTCGAACGAAGTGTATACCACGTTTTGTGTTTATAAAACAAAGTTTTCAATAGTTCAAAAACACTAGATAGCTCATAAAATGCCAGCCAATACCATTGAATCTTGCCTTCAGGGTGCTAGATATAATTTTGATGCTGTTCGACCTGCTCCGATTTGCGGTGACGCCAACCAACCAGGTCAATGCCACAATGTACACATATCCACAAATTTTTACTATGGATTTCATGAAGTAAAAACGTCGGGTATCAACCACATGGCAACAGATTGTGAGATGCAGGAAGTCCCAATTGAAAAGAACGTGAACACCCTTGTAACCACAGCTAGAAAAAGAAGTGCTGATAACAGCGGCTATCCACAGAGCAAGCGTTTTCGAGAAGGTAGGCAATACACTAATTTGAATATGAAGATCATTCAATCCAAACAGAAAAATGAACAAATGACTGTTATTCAATGATCTTCATACATATCTAAAAACCATACGTTTTTCAAGCATTTGCAGTAATCAGATTGTAACTATGTAATGAATAATGTTAGATCAGGGCTGGCCAGACAACGGCTTGCAGGCCGCATTCGGCCCACAATGCATGTTTAATCAGAAAATGGTTATGGATATAAATCGTTTGGATAATAGAATTTTTTGTCAAAACATATAATCAATATTTGGTATAATTTATCTTTATTCTTGTAAGATTCCATTCTCATGACATCATTTAAAAGTGAAGCTATCTTTTACCATAATTGAAGGAATTCCTGGAAACTATTTGTTTTTGAAAATATATTTTTCTGCCGCCCTCCAACTTTAGTAGTAAATTTAATTAGCCTGCAAAGATATGTAGTTTGGACAGCCCTGTTTTTGATTATAACTTTTGCCAAACATGCTTGTCATTTGACATCATGAGCAATCTTAAGTAAAGTCATAAAACATATTAAAAACAAATCTTATGAAACAGTAGTATTAAATATTACATAGTTGCAAAACGAAACTCTTTCTTTTACACATTGCAGGAAGTCTTCAGATTCACTACCTAATAATCTAGTAGAAGTTTTTAGTTTTGTTGCAGTTTCACAACTAGCGCTTTTAAGGCAGAACACATATGTAATTTTGTATTTATTTTATTCTGATTCATTGCTCGTTACACAGAGCAGCATAAGAAAATTTGAACAAAAATGTGAGTCGTCTATTATCAAAGGTGGCAATCTGTGCATTTGGACAAAAAAATGTGATTGATATGTCAATACAGATTGATTTGAATATAATCGTCTCCTTCAAAGAATACGGTTCAAAACCTGCATTAAATAAAGGCTAATACTTAACCTGTTATTTATCTAAGATGTCGTTCAGAAGAGTTTTGTGACTGTCAATGGAATACAAAGTCAATAATTCGTTTTTCTGATTTACCAATAATTGTCCAAAAGTCACATTGCCGGCTTTGATAATAGTCGACTCATGTATTAAAGCTGGGTTTTTAAATTTTTTTAAATCCTTTATATTCTTCACATATACATCAATGATAAGAAAATTATAAAAGATCAAATTACGTCAGCCAATCATGGAAAGGCAGTTTAATAAAATTTCCCATAATGATTTTTCAATAAAAAAGTGAAATTCATTTTTTCATTATCTGTGTTTAATTGGCAATTTCATAATAATTGCTGCCCTCAAATTGTCTACTAATGTACTAAAATATTTATGATTATATCACTATATTTCATATATACTGTACATGAGTGTTCTGTTTTATAGAGGTAATTTCTACATTAGTCTATTGTATAGTTTAATATAAATTATGATGATTAAGTTGCTTGCAAAATGAATGACGTATGTAATATTTTAAATATGTACATTATATTATTAATTGAATTGCTCATTGTAATGAAGCAGAATTAAAACTATTTTTACAGTTTAATCTCAGGTTTCACATTTCAAATACCTTAGTTTTTTATGTTCAAGCACCAATAAGATGACTTTGAACACTTGAAAATACATGAAAATTTATGATTTTTTTTATTAATTATCCACTCTTATGATTTAGTCATGAGTTTATTATTAATGATATTTAGAATATTTAATAGTTTTCATGATCCAAGACATCTGTCTTCATAAACATGAGGTTAAAACCAAAAAGTTGTAACTGTTGTGGCCTTATGCAGTTTTCAATATTTCTGTATGAAATATTTCAAAATGCTCCTAAAGATATTGAAAAGCTTAGCATGTGTGAAGTTTAACCAAGTAAAGTATGTGTGCAGTCTGGGATTCCCATCAGGAACACAGTTCCTTACTTTCTGTATCTTACAGCTAATGTCCGTTTGGTTTATGGGAAAATGTTCACTTGTTAAATTGTTTATTGTCTGCATTCAGCTATTTCATTTCATTAAAAAAAAATCGATTAAGTGGTTTAAAGTTACTGAATTGCAATACAATTAATGGTTTCGTTTTTAGCTTCTATTTTAAGACCCACATATAGCCTTTTCGCATTAAAAGTGTACAATTGCCAAAAATATTAGAAATTGAGTTAATATACGGAAACATTTGTTATCACCAGTATTTTTTTCATAAATACTGTTAAAAGAGCATAGTTTAGTTTTTTTTAGTTTACTTATGTTTTGTAGTTGTAGTTGTAGTTGTATGTACTGTTAACAAAATTAATACGCCATTTTGTCTTACTTTAAAAGACAGATAATGTAACTGTTAAAAAATTAAAAATAAATTTTGAAATAATGATTAAGTAATATTAAAAATATTACATGTTAAACATTTAAAACACTCTCCTGTAAAATTAGTAAGTTTTTAAATTATACAATTTTAATGCGAGAAGATGATATGTACTTAGAATAATTACACTGGTGTAATTATTTTAAGCATAATATGTATAAATAAATTAACAATAAATAGTGCGTTAAAATTTAGTCTTTACGAAGTTACATTTAAAGATCACATTTGTTTAGTTATAAGTCAGAAGTACAAACTATATTCATTATTTTATTATGTTACAATTTTTATATATTATTTTCTTTCTACCTATTCGCTGGTAGCCTATGGGCCTATTTCAGCTAGGCACGAACGGGTAGGTGAGCTTAGGGATTCAATCTAAGAGAGTTTGCTCACACTAGCCCTAACAAAAGCAGTGCTTTGTATAATCTACCACTGGATCGGAATTGCGACGCGCAGAAAATTCGGCGAAAAAATCAGTGGGTTGTGTCTATGGTTAGTTAATCGAATCCTTCGTCGTAGTTGAGTTCGACGAGGACGGTGACTGGTGCTTGAAGAGCCTAAAAGCACCGAGAGAGGTTCTGGGGGATTATACAAGACATGTTTCGGTCGGCTTTCTGTTGCTCCGTCGCCCAGTGCGGTTACGTAATTAGCGGCAGCCACGATAAAGGAGTGCCGCGCCATCTTTTTCAAAGTAGCGTTCTGACGCTTCCCATTTTCATCTGCCAAATCCTACTGCAACCGCGGTAAGGTCGCCAGCCTGCCTCGGTTGAGTGAGACGGGACAGATCCTATCGGAGACTCGTACGGCGCTTGAGCGACAGGAGATTTTAGTTGGTTCATCAGCGATATTCCCGCCGCGTCCACTCTCCAGATAAAGGCGAAATCCGGTCTTATTCCTCATGACCAAAAGAAAGCTGCGTTAAAGAACCACGCTTTAAAAATCTTAAATTGTTTTAAGTCTAGCTGAACCTTACCTATTCGGTTTGAAGGGTGAGGCAGGCCTTGTACTGTTAAACCATCACTTAGAACTCATGCCTCAAATTGGTTGGCGGCATTTAGCTTCTTGATGTTTATGGGTTCCAGTAGCCACGAGAAGGGCCGTGAGCTGGTTCACCGGTCTAAGCTTATAAAAAAAGTACTCATATATGTATTCCAAACGATGCATAGTTGGAATAGCCCTTAGGCTGCCAACAATTAGGTAATTAGCTCTTAGGCTGCCAAAAAAGTATTGATAACTTACATTGTCAGCAAACGCAATCTGGTAACAATGTACTAAGCAAATTTGTTAAAAAAATAACTTAATCTTAATCACATAAACATTTTCAATTTTCAACTAATAACCAGCAATTGCCCAGTTAATTTAATTATATAGAATATTTTGCGAAGTTGATGATATTTGTAATTATCTTTTACCTACAGAGTTAAATTAAGTACTTTTTTAGTACATACTTAGTGCCCAAAAAAATTCACATATATTAAATTTAAAAACTCATCTTAAATGGGTTTATAGACATAAATTATACCATTGTTATATAATAAAATTGTAATTAATGAAACGGCAACAAAACTATATTAAGACTTCCTGCTGGAAGTCTTAATCCTTTGTGTGATGAAATTTGACTTTATTTCAGAGGTTATGGTGCCAACAACCACCAACTCCAACCCCTGTTTGCTTCGTCCAACACACAACAATCCAGATATATCTCGTTGTCTCATGGTCCATATGATATAATATCTTTGGTTTAATGAAGCAAGTGCAAACGAAAACAATAATTAGATATCTCCATTTTATCTGCAGAAGTTCAAAGAAAGAAAAACATTGGACCTGAGACACACGAGACTGCAAAATTAAAACCAAGTTCAGAAGATATATTGGAAAGTCTTTTCTGGAACATACATGGCGGACATTTTTATAGTTATTTAAACTGTGCTTCTTCTTTGTGATGTTAGTGTGATATTTTGTGAAGTGAATTGGGACACTAAGTACAATTTCAGACTCTAACTTTGAAATGTTTCTCATATTTTAAGATTAAATAAAATTGTAACTAGGTAAAGGGGGTTTTTATTTAAATTATGCAATCATTAACATCCATTTGTTTATTAGTAAAATAAAATATAGAATACACAAAGAATACCACGCAAACAAACAACACCTCACAGGATATTAGTTAACTTTTAGGTGACCTAGCAGCAGAACACAAAAAACACATTAAATGGAAAAAATCTAATTACTTTTGTGTATTGCTTTTTGTTTCAGATGCAGATAGAAGATCTAATGAAACGTTTTTTTTACAGGCCCACTCAAACACCGATAACATCATTAAAATGATGTAGTGTTGAGTGTTTGTTTCATTGTTACACAATAATATAAATTCCTCTTCTATTTTTCAGGTGCTTGTTCCATGTGGAGTCTTGTTGGTACACAGTCAAGTCCAAGCCACTCTGCTTCTGCCTTTAACATAAAAAATATAATATTTTATTTTACATATTTTAACTTCAGATCTATCATCATGAACATAAGTTTATAATAATAAATAAGTTGTGATTATGTATGTGAACTATTTGCGAGTATGATTTAAGTTAGTGAACAAACTGTGATATATGTACCTGAAATTAAAACTTTTGTAAAATTTATTGACTTTTATTAAGTGCCCTGCACATTATAGTATTATAGTAAAATTAAGTTTTGGCTTTCTATATTTTAGAATTTAGTGCCATGTAAAGAGGGTCTCCTGACAGGAAAATAATATAATTCTATCAAAATAGCTATTTATTAGAGCAGATATTCTTCATATCAATAAAAGAAGAAGATCCTAAATAATAATTAAAAAAAAACGCATTGTAACATTTTAATGGGTTTATTATTTTATAAAAGCGTTACAATCTTTAGAAAGCTAATTTAAGAGACAAACATGCTAATATAAAAGTAATCTAAAATCAATCTTAGTTTGTGTAGCTTATTAGTAGCAAATCTAAAACCTTTGAGCAAAAATTCACCACCATGGTTATTATTTAAAATTTTGTATAACGTGAGATGATCTGAATAATAGTTTTTGGGAAAAACATTCATTTACGAAGATAACCACAGAATACAGTTATTAAATTATAGATTTCGAACATCAACGTAAAAAACTGTCAATTGTACAAGGGTAATTAAGTGGGTAGTATGGTAGTTAATAAAAAAAATTATCGTCGGAAGCACAGGACCTACGGTCACCGCGTTGTTATGTTGATCATGCACATCAGCTATGTCATAAAGCCACTGCCCACTATTAGACTTTCTTTATAACTCTCATTACTTGGAAAAAAATATATCTAATCCGGGCGTCGAGTCCAAAAAGTTCAAAAAAGATACAATACATTACGTTATACCCAAACCTGTTGTGATTATTTTAGTTATGTCTTATTTGCACTGAATCCATAAATTTTAGTATCACAAAAGCAATATTGCGTTCAGCAGTACAATGGGAAATAATGAACGAAAATCAATTCAAAAAGAAACAAAAAATATAAAAACATGGATTCAACCCGAAATAAGCGTTCGACAGGTGAACGGACATCACTTTCAAAACAATCAATACATATGGGATGTTAAATATTAAAAAGGCCATGCAACGGCTGTTTTCTTGAAAAGTTCATGAACTATATCTTAAATTACTAGATAAAAAAATCTTACATTTTTCATCTCATGCTAAACATCAATCACAACGCTTGATGTCCTATGTGACTAATCGTTATGCGTATGACATAGTACGGTTAGCTCATCGTTTATAATAAAATGATCTCAAATGACGTCACAGGCAATTCATTACCTACGTTCAGTCGTGTTTAGTAATGTTAGCAATTTTGAATGATAATTATCCGGATTCATATTTTCATATATGAAGTCGGACCGTATTATTATTATGACTGATGATTTCATTGATTTGAACAAGCGTGGGTTACAAACAATTTTGTTAGTATACGGCTTGAGCGTCGAATGACACTATAAATTGGTGTTCAATTGTTATTGGTTTTGATGAGTGTAAGTAATTAGCGGCAGACATGTACAATAAAGAACATGTTGCATTACCTCTGTAGGCGTGACTTCGTCGGTATCCACGACGTCGGGCAGAGCTTCCGCATTGACTCCAGCTTCATCACCATCGACAGTGCCACTCTCGTCCATATCGACATGGCAAGTTTGGTCTGCCTCTGCCAAATCGCCATTATGCATTTCCGAACAATTTATAAGATCAACTTTGCTATCCTGGTTAGAATGATGAGCACCATCATTCACGTCTGTAGGTTCGATGTCTATGTGGAGATGGCCGGGCCACATATCATAAGGGCACGCATTCACTTGATGTAGCTGACTGTCGCTCGAACTAAATAGATTCAAAGATCCTGCGACATCTTGTAACCTTGATGAGTCTAAATCGTTGCTCATCGGAATCGATTCACCTTCCGTACTCGCTGCTATATACAAAGGTAAGTTTTCAAATATGTCGTTTGACACGTCAGAAACGCGCATTCTCTCGTACTTAGATAGGAACTCCTGAAGTCTTCTTTTGGTCTGTTGCGAATATCTTCTGTCTGGGTAGTTGCTCAAAATATGTGAAGCTAAAGTATCAAGAAATTCTGTTGTGCATATTTCTTCGCTTTTCATAATCAAAAATCGGACAATTTTGCTATCAATCTGCATTGTATTTGCACAGACATTTTGCATAGAGGCCGAGCTGCAGTCGTTATAGTTTGTGTGTTCAGTTGGAGCAGTGGTGGACACGGTATCGGGTCTGGTTAGCTCTTCTGTTTCATCGTTATCATGATTCTCGAGCATCGTATTGTATTGAGACAGAACGTTGCGAATCGATTGCAGTACTTTCTGTCGCAAGTTTTCAGAACTGATCAATTGCAACTCCCTAAACAGTTGTATCAGAAAGTCTGGATGAGATTCATTGACCCCGATCAGAGTCGTCACTTCCGAATATATATTTTCCCTCAAAAGATCAAACAGTTTAGATGTGGCCTTGTCTTCGTTTTCGCGACTGGTCGAAGCCAAATTAGGGTTCGGTACCTCCGACAGACTGGCAATATTTATATTGCTCGTTTGAGAATAATCTAAAGCGCAATTCCTACGGTTTGATGAATTTTTCGCGGGCAATTTCGACGAAGATTTCCTCTTGCCATTCGTAGAGCTGTTCAAGTTATTGGAATGGGATTGAATAATTTCAGGTATCGGATTTGTTATATTCAAATTCCTAAACGAAGGCGGCGCGCTTTCTTGCCTGTTTATGTTCACGTTAGGTATGTTTGTGGTGTTACTGTCATCGACGTTTCTGGAATGAGATGCGACCGCCATTTCAGAATCTGCGTTCTGATTGACGTTCAGAACATCGGGCGCGGATGAAAACGATAGAGATCGTTCGTAGGAGACATTCATGCGCGCGTGACGATTCGGCAAGTCTTCGTTATTAGTTTGTGGCAATTGAGGAACGTTTTGAGAGGAACTGGCCGTGTTGGTGTTTCTCTTGGGGGTCACACATGGAGAACTGGCAGACGGCGTGCGACGTAACGTATTATGGGATCTCTCAACCAGTGGGTGAGGGTTGTGGGGGGGACCAGAACCCAAGTGGCCATCTGCATTAACTTTATTATTTGCCGACAGAAGGTTTTGACGGGAATAGCTGAAAATCCAAAAAGACTACGTTAAATGCGAAAAAAATAGATAAATAATCAAATGAATTTAAAAATATTTATATTTAAAACAAAGGTTAGTAAAAATACGTCAATAAACATGGGGATCACTGCGATTGTTACATTTTATAAATGCGAAAGCATTTTAATTATATGAAAGTGAAATTTTACGTTAAACAAACCAACCAGGGCAACACACAATTCTCACCCTCATCCATAATTATTTCGGTACCGGTAACTTTATATTTTAGGTAGGTATATTTAAACTGGCAATAAAACTATCTTAATAATGATATAAATATAAAAAAAATTTTTTTAAACATGTCTAATATCTGAAAACAGAAAAGTTAATTACAGAATAATGCAATTTTTCGCTATCCATTGCTGTCTCATTTCGGAATACATGCTGTTCACTGCTCGTTTGTATAGTTCTAATGTAGTAAATACCTTCTAAAGTTATCCCAGTAGTTGTTGGCTCTGTTGCCGGGAGGTACTTGATTGTTGAGCGTGTGCGAGGCGGTTTCGGCCCGCCATCGCTCTTCCAGCTGTTAGAAATTAAGCACATTTAACCTGGCTGCACATTGGAAGACATCAGAAGAAGTCTAATAGCACCGGAAGGGTTTTAAGGTCCATAATCAATAATACGTATATAGCTGGTCAAGAAGGGACTTTTATCAAATATTTTTCTGCCTACTATTTCTCAAATATTGGTGGTAGGACCTGTTGGTCCGCATGGGTTGGTACCACCGCCTTGCCTATTTCTGCCGTGAAGCAATAATGCATTTCGGTTTAAAGGGTGGGGCAGCCGTTGTAACCATACGGAGACCTTAGAACTTATATCTCAAGGTAGGTAGCGGCATTTACGCTGTAGATGTCTATGGGCTCCAGTAACCAATTAGCACCAGGTAGACCGTGAGTTCGTTCACTCAGCTAAGCAATAACATAATCTTAATGAATTATAAAACACAATTTCACAACGCATAGGACGTCTTACACATTAGACCATAAACATTTGACTCTACGGTGTATATTTAACTTACATGGTTGAGTTGTTCGCGCAGTTGATGTATATCGCGTTGTTGCATCACCAGTTGCTGCCAGCACCACGCTCCCCACAACCCGCAGCCGCAGCCGCAACCTCCCACCATGCCTTCATTAAAACGAACAAACAAACCAACCATATAGACAACATGACGATAGCTTGACGTCTACGAGCTGTGTGCAACGTGCAAGAAAATA